AGGGGACGCTGGGAGCTGCTGCTGCTCCCCGGACCCGCGGCGGAAGGCTCCGCGGGAGAGGGGGCCTCCCCCTGCTGGGGGTAGTCCCGAGCGGGCTGGCACTGGGGGTAAGGCGGTGGCCGCCGCGATCCTTGGCCCCGGGGTCGGGTGTAAAGAGCGCGATGTTGGGGTGGCACCGTCGGGCCGGAGGAGGTGACTCATTGCCCTCCTCTCCCCTGTAAAGGCTGGAAGTGAGTTGGGGAGTGAGTTGTGCGCCGCGGAGTTCAGGGAACTCGGGGGCCGGCCGGCTGCCCGTCGCTGGGAGAAAGAATGGAAGGGAAATTCCTGAACACCCGGCATAGTGAGTGGTCGTACAGTTGGCACACGGCGGGGAGGCTGCGGTGGGAGCCCCGGCCAGCCCCTTCCGACGGGTTTCTGCTAGGCTTCAGGTGTGAGCAGAGATAAAGGCATGATGACCGAGAATGCTTCTCATGTGCAGTCATGACGGGTTCAGCTAGGACTAGGGCCTGAGCCAGCTCTGCACGGCGCACGCAGGGGTGCGATCTTCTAACGTAGCCGGAGCGGATTTGATGCGGATCAACAAGTAGTAGGAGAACGCACGTGTCTGTGGGACCTCCGGGAGGCTGGCTTTTCTGTTGACTGACTGGTCTGAAATTTGGTATTCCTAGCTGCGTGGAGGAAGGACAGTGACAAGGTCTTGATGTCTTTATCCTTGGGGGTCCTGGAGGCAGAGGGGGGGCCTCCTCCTGGGAGCTAAGGTGCCTTTGTGAGTGGATGATATTGGCAAATATCGGGTGTTTCCTGTGGAAGTTCTGATCTTGACTTATCGGTTGCAGTTGCAAAGCCAGAGCCATTGCAATCCCTGTTGCATGTGTATTTTTATTTTGTGGACACACACTCACATTTAGAACTACTGTGAGCAGCACAGGTTTGAATTTTTTCGTGCCTAGCGTTCTATCTTTTATGAAGTGGGAATTAGGGTAAACTGTAAGGCGAGGATCTCTTGCTTGCCCACTACCCAGGAGAGAGTTCCCTGAAAGCGTCCCTGTCAGAGCTGGAGTCAGGATGGGTGACAGCCCTACTTTTCCCGGACTCCATGATGGAGTTTCAAAGTCTTGGTTTTTGTCAAGTCATGATGCTTGTAAGACAAGTGGTAACTGGTGATGCTCACTCAGATTACCTCTGCACATTTGGAGAGGCTATTCAGGGTTCCGGATGTAGACTAGTTATGAGCAGTCGAAGGTGGAACGGATAGCACAGTTATTTTAACAGGTCCTGAGTCCATTGGGACGCGGCATCCCTCCTACCGATCACACGGGAGCTTTGAGAGGGTTGTTTTTCCTGAATGGCTTTGTAGAGCTGCGTACCCCTAGCACCCGTCAGCGGAGGCTTTCACGGGCCTAAAGTTTACTGGGAGACTGTTTATCCTCACCTGAGGATATTTTTTCCATTGATTTTTTTTTTTTTTTTTTTTTTTGGGGGGGGGAGGGGGGAGGGGGGG